ACATGGCTTCCCCACCGCACCAGCAGCTGCTGCATCACCACAGCACCGAGGTGAGCTGCGACTCCAGCGGGGACAGCAACAGCGTGACGGTGAAAATCAACCCCAGGCAGCACCAGGGCTGCTCCTCGTCCAAGCACTGCAAGTACAGCATCTCTTCCAGCTGCAGCTCGGGGGAGTCGGGGGGCACCCGGCGAGCTGTTTTTTTTTGCGGCCACGGCCTCCGCCGGCAGAAGAAGCTGCCGCAGCTCTTCGAGAGGGCTTCGTCCAAGTGGTGGAACCCCAAGTTCGACTCCAACAACCTGGAGGAGGCGTGCATGGAGAGGTGCTTCCCGCAGACCCAGCGCAGGTTTCGCTATGCCCTCTTCTACATCGGCGTGGCCTGTCTCCTCTGGGGCATCTACTTCGGCGTGCACATGAGAGAGAAACAGATTGTTTTCATGGTGCCGGCTCTGGGCTTCCTCTTGGTATGTGTCGTGTTTTTTGTGTTCACTTTCACTAAGACTTACGCCCGCCATTACGTGTGGACTTCACTGATACTCACCCTCCTGGTTTTTGCTTTGACTCTGGCTCCGCAGTTCCAGGCTCTGAAGCCTATCTCAGGAAGTGGTGACATGTCCAATCGGACTCCCGCGGCAGACCCCACAGACACTTGTCTGTCTCAAGTAGGCAGTTTTTCTATGTGTATTGAAGTGCTCTTGTTGCTTTACACGGTGATGCACTTACCCTTGTATTTAAGCTTGTTTCTGGGACTGTCGTACTCGGTCCTCTTTGAGACCTTTGGCTATCACTTCCGCGACGAGAACTGTTTTACACCTCTCGGAGCCGGCGTGGTTTACTGGGAGCTGTTGAGTAAAGCCTTCCTGCACATCTGCATCCACGCCATCGGTATTCATTTATTTATCATGTCCGAAGTCAGATCGAGAAGCACATTCCTGAAAGTGGGGCAGTCCATCATGCATGGAAAAGACTTGGAAGTGGAAAAAGCCCTGAAAGAGAGGATGATTCATTCTGTTATGCCAAGAATAATAGCCGATGACTTAATGAAGCAGGGGGATGATGAAAGTGAAAACTCCATCAAGCGTCATTCCACCTCAAGCCCCAAAAACAGGAAGAAGAAGCCCTCCATACAGAAAACCCCCATAATATTCCGTCCTTTTAAAATGCAGCAGATAGAGCAAGTGAGCATTTTGTTTGCAGATATCGTTGGCTTCACGAAAATGAGCGCCAATAAATCTGCCCACGCTCTGGTGGGACTCCTGAACGACCTCTTTGGACGTTTCGACCGTCTCTGCGAGGACACTAAATGTGAGAAGATAAGCACTTTGGGAGACTGTTACTACTGCGTCGCTGGCTGCCCAGAGCCCCGGGCAGATCACGCGTACTGCTGCATCGAGATGGGCTTGGGGATGATTAAAGCCATTGAGCAATTTTGCCAGGAGAAAAAAGAAATGGTGAACATGAGAGTCGGTGTTCACACTGGGACGGTCCTTTGTGGCATTTTGGGAATGAGGAGATTCAAGTTCGATGTGTGGTCCAATGATGTCAATTTGGCCAATCTGATGGAGCAGCTCGGGGTGGCTGGAAAAGTCCATATTTCGGAAGCTACTGCGAAATATTTGGATGATCGTTATGAAATGGAGGATGGAAAGGTGATTGAGCGAGTTGGTCAGAATGTGGTAGCCGACCAGTTAAAAGGTAGGTGCTTGTATTTTGTGCTCAGTCTTTTTTTTCTTTTCAAGCAAATGTTTTCCCCAGTGCATGTTTTGTGCTTGCTGACTTGCAAATTGAACATGTTTTGTGTTTAACTCTGCGTGCTGGTGATGGCAAACACCATGGGAATTACAGAATAAAATACGCCATGGAGATAAGCGCGAAAGATCATCTCCAGACTTCAGAACTCTTCAGCGCTCCTTGTGAGAGTATCGCATCGTAGGGAGGAGAAGGTTAATGTGTTTGCTGTCTGCGAGAGGTTTTTGTTTTACTGTTGTGTGTCATCCTTTAATTCAGTGAGTAAACTTGTTAATTGGCTTCATGTGCCATACATAGAGCATATGTGTTTTGCAGAATTATGTATATCTGTGAAAAGTTTTTATTGGCATTGGTAGAGTTGGGACTGTGAAGGCATTTGTGAAAATGACAGCTGGATTCACAGAAAGAAATGAGCACTGTAGATTTGGCAGTTTGATACAGCGAGTTGTTACAGCTCGAAGTTCGGCTGGAAAAAGTTACTCAGGTGGTTGAGTGAGCTGGCAGAGGCGCTCCTTTCTGCAGCTCGAAGGATTTGGGGATGAAACTGCAAATTTGCCATTCGGAAAAGAAAATGAGGGATCCTTCGGTTCCCCTCACGGCTTGGCTAAGGGTCCGGTTTCCATTTTTCTACAGAGTATTCATTTGGAAATGAAACCCTTGACTGCTTTCTAGCAGCGCTCAGAAGCGCGTGCAGGAGCAGCTCCACGCCGAGGGTTTAATTGTCTCTTTAGTAAAAGCCGCGTCTCTAGCGCTGTGCCTTTGTCTCGATGGTTGTCTGCAGTGCTTGTAGCCCGAGGTGGGGAGCAGACAGATCAAAATATGTTGCAAAACCCTTTTATGCTATGTGAGTTTATTGATATTGTTTATAAACGTACTCATTTCTGTAAAGAGGGTGTTGAAAACAGAGCGGAGGAAACTGCAGGAGTCACAGGACAGCGTTGTGATGGAGGAAGGAGATATTTGTTGCAACAAATACAAACCGAGGCCGGGATGGTTGTGGAAAGAAAGGTCAGCGAGTGAGGACAGGGAGGGTATTGCAAAACAGCGGTGGAAGTGGTGGCGGCAGGCCGCTCGCCTGGGGCAGGTGCTTATTTTGATGTGACACAAATACTTATTTTTGGTGAGCTGGCTCTCCGCGTGCGTACGGCAGCAGGGCTGCAATGAGAGGCTTACGGGGAGGAAGAGTATCGACAGTGACATTGGTGGCTGGAAGCCATAGAACTGAAGCAGATGTGTGTCCCTGGGCTTCGGCTTTCTGTTTAGCTTCTAAAAATACAAATTCAGTTAATTTCTTTGAAAACTGTTGGCAGCGATGTGTTTCGGTGGAAGTGTGCTTTCAAGAAAAAAGAATGGGACGTAGTCTAAGCTGAATCTTGCTGTGCTGGTGGAAATAAATCCAATAGGCTGTACAGAAACAATGTTGTGATATTTCATCTACCTTTGTAGCAACAAGGTAATTAAGTATTTTTGCTAAATTTGTAACTCTGTTCCATACCGTGAATCACAAAGTGACATGAACTTACTTGTGGAGACTGAGGGTGCTGCTCTGAAGTATTTTTATTTATTTGTTTCTATTTTCTAGGAGATCACAAGAGCACTGTGTAGAGCAATGATGCCCCGTGCCAGAAGTGGGTTTTTCGTGGCCTTTCTCAGACTTGTGTCCTTGGTTACGGTTATCGCGGAGGGGCACGCGTGGGCTGCTGTGCCTCGTCAGTGCAGTGGTTCGGGTTTGCAGCTCTGAGTGCCTTTCACGGGTCCTGCTTTAGGCAGGGCGCCGCAGATGGGCACCCTGGAATGCAGTCTAGATAAGATGAAGTATGCTCTGTGGACTGTTTTCATGTTTTTTTTGTTTTGCTTTTTTTTTTTTTCATGTTTTTCTCACCCTGAAACCTAACTATGAAAGCAGCTGGAGTATGTAGTAAGAATAGCTTCAGTGAGGAATATGGGTTGGTTTGGGTTTCCCCCCCCCCCCTTTCTGTATTTTGTTGTGGAACTGTAATTAGCTTCCATGTCTTATCAATGTTGTACGTAGTCACAGAAATCAGAGTCTGTGTGTACTTTTAAACCGAGCAAACCTCTGCCATCACCACCTTTATCTGCAGGTCTGTGGCACGTGTAGTCCCTTCCCCTGCGGCGCCCAGACCCTCAGGCACACGTGGGTGCTGCAGAACTGCCCATTTTTTCCTGTTTCCTCAGCACTTTGTTCCGCAGTCAGATTGCTTGGCTGACAGGTAAATGGCATCAGGAAAAAAAAAAAAAAGATGCAATGATAAAAGCAATCTAACAGCAGTGCCACAGGCTGGCGTCTGGAACCTGCTGCAGGGGAGGGTTTTGGGAAGGAGTAGCTCCGAGATTATTTAACAGAGGAAACCGAGATTTCACCTCTTAATTAATTGTCCTCTGCCAAGCACCTGCTCAGTTTTGGAAACTTTGCTTTACGATTTTCCCTGAGAATTTGTTGATAGTAGTGACCGAGAAGAGGAAGTTTGTGGTGGTTGTTTAATGGTGTCATACATCGCGCTCTTTTCAAGTACGAAAGTGCTGTGCAGATAGCGGACAGAAGCTTTGTTTCCCTACCAGTACTCCACTTCTCAGCTTCCTTTCAACCTTTGATATTGTAATGCTCTCCTATTTTTTATGTTTTATGTCTAGTATATCATCTCTTCATTGTCTGAGCTCCCACAGCGGTCACAGCTCTCTTTCTGAGGGTAAGTCAACATGATGAAGTCAGCTCTTGGTAGAGCAGAACGGGAGGTGCGGAGGACTCGGTGCCCACGTTACGCACGTTTTGGAACGTCTGCCTAAGACTAGTTCTGGACTGGGTCTTTGGAGAAAAGTACCTCTGTGGTTGGAGCACATCAGACGTGCTCCTGCAGCGAGTCTTTTGGCAGGGTTCACCCCGCAGGAATCGGGGTACAACTCCCCAGTGTGCACCGAGGCAGGGTCCGTAGCAGTCAGCTGGGCACGCTGCTTCCAAACTGCGCTCCCCCTTCCCTTTGAAGTGCTCATGCAGATGGACCCTGAGTTACCCTAGTGCTGCTCCTTGGTTTTTGGAATGGACGAGTCAAAACTAAATTTTTCTCTCCTCATCTTGAAATTTTTTTTGGGCAGAAATTAGTGCTGCTCCTTGGTTTTTGGAATGGACAAGTCAAAACTAAATTTTTCTCTCCTCGTCTTGAAATTTTTTTGGGCAGAAAAATCTTTTTTTACTCCTTTGATGTTTCCTTGGCCCCTTATTGCAAGAAGGAAGTGGGGTCCTGCTATGCTCCCTCATGTTTCTGACTTCTGAATTAAGTAGATAGTGTTTAAAACAAACCAACGAAGAGACCGAGCCATTGATGACCCTACAATGTTTTTGCCTACTGCTGACTGCTCTTTGTTTTAAGATTGCTTAGGCCATCTGTTTTCAGGGCACCTGATCCCCTTGCATGTGGGGGAAGCACACGAGAGCAATGTTGCAGTGATTTTTCTTTTTTTTTTTTTTTTTGAGGCTACAGATAAACCGTAGACATCAGCTCATTTATATCTTCCATAATAATTTTTCCATAGGACAATTCACTTTTTCTGTTTTCTTGCTGAGCTCCCTAGCAAATAAATTTACTCAAGGCTATGAGATGCTGAGAGTCACATAATACAAGTTAATGTGTCCCTGCTGGACTCTGTGGAGCCAGAGACCTCTTCTCAGGATATAAAAAGTTCTGCTTATGGAAATATTTTTGTTTTGCTCTGTTCTTCTTGCTTATTTGCCTGTCTCTTTCTTGTTACTTAGGAGGTCACAGTATTGCTGTTTGCCAGCCAGCCAGCAACTCTTCCAGAAATACCAGGGTCACCAGCATCTTTTTTTTTTTTTTTTTTTTTTTTGAGTGCTTAAAATATGTAAGCATGTTGGGGCAAGAATGCTTTCTCTGTGTTTTCAGAGCATGGCACAATGGAACCGTGATTTCATTTGGGGCATTTGTATGTATGCTGATGCTCTAATAAGAGTCATTTTAGTAAAGTTCCCATTAAAAAATAAATTCCCGAACTTTCTGCAGCAAGACACCTCCTTGTTCAGTTTGCCTCAAGGAAGGGCTTCGTCACTGAATTTCTGTTAGAAGCCTGTGAAGGTACAGACATGTTTACTCTGTGATCGCCGTTTGCTTCAGCATGGATAAAAGGTGGATGTTGTGCGTGCTGTCCCCTGGCTAACCACGCCGAGCCGTTGGTGGCTTGGGAGGGAAGGTCAGCTTTTGCGGTGCGTGAAAGTCCACCAGCTCACCTGTGGCAACTGGTGGCCGTTCTGATAAAGCCTGCCAAAGATTTGTAGCTTACTGCGTTGTCTTTCACTGTTTTCTTTTAATATCTGCTTTACTTTTAAGCATTTTTAAAATAAAGTAAATCAGTTATAAAAATGACTGTTTTGCTCGCTATTTAAACCTTTTAATGTGACCTGAGGCTATTATTTGTCTGTAAATAGCCCAGCTCTTGGCGTGGGGGCAGCCTGTGCCCCACGGGGTGCGTTTCCCTTGGCAGACCCTGGGACCCAGCTCTGCCCGGTGACCTGATACTCTGCCGCTCCTCCGGGTTGGGTTACAGGGAACACAGCGCAGCGGTTCCTCAGGCTGTGAAGGGAAGTCATTGAGTTTTCCTTCTGCTCCTCCCCTCTGCAGCCGATCGGGGGGACCCCAGTTACACCCCGACAGCAGTGAAGTGTCCCCTGCCTGCCCTGTCTTTGTGTCCTTTCCCAGCCCCAAGTGCAGGGGACCTGTAGCTGTTGTCTGCTTCTGGAAGTTCGCAGGGAGATGAAAGTTAAGATGAACGTTTTCTTCAGCTTTTTGAGCCCATCTTGCTGGGAATGGTGTAAATCGAGAAGGCTCGTGCCTGTGCCAGCAGGGCGGCTCTGCAGGGAGCTCTGCCCCAGTGCAGCATTGCTCTGGGGCTTGGCTAAGAGCAGCTCCAGCGTCTGCCTGGTGCGGGTTTCGGGGTGGGGGCGGGAGGTCAGGGCGTTTGCCTGGTTTGTGTCTTGCCGTCTGCTGCGCAGGTCTTCCTGTTCAACCTCCAGTTTCATCATGGTCAG